TAGACTATTTTAAAACACGCTTAACATAATTAACACGAGAATACTTAAGTACAAATAATTTAGCAAAACAATAACCACGTTCACATAATAAATGTCCCCTCTCTATTTTGGAATGGCCTGACTATTTATCTGATATACTTAATCATTAATCATTAATTTAAATACTTGTATACGCAATATTTAATTTACCCTAATAATTATTAAATAGACATAGTTCATTGAATATTTAATTACAGTTTTGCAACACAAACATGATATAAAATAAAATATTTATTAATAATTAATCATGACAATTAAAATAAAGGCAAACACCACACCATGGTCAATGAATACTCAACCATGGTAGTGTATCAATGTTTCATCGCGTTAATTTCTTTGGCGATGGCACTTTGCATTTCGGTGCGCATATCTTCGGCCAGTTTGCAGCACTCGGCCACCGATTTTTTATGATCCTTGCACTGTTTGCGTAGGGCGTCTTTGCGCTTGATCAATTGCTCGATATGCTTTTTGGCCACTTTCAGTTTGGCCTTCATGCCCGCGTGCGACTCGTGCTCGATCATCACGTCCACCATCGGGAGGGTGGCCTTTAATTGCTCGGTCATAAACTTGAAGTAGTCCTCCAGTTCCTTCTCGGTCTTTATCCCGGAGCACATGCCTGCGATATTTGGGTATTTATCATGATTTTTATTGTTATTTTGTGATTATGAACTTGGTAAGTATTTTACGGGTTTATTTTGATGTATGGTTAAAGTTTTGCTAAATTATTTGTACTTAAGTATTCTCGTGTTAATTATGTTAAGCGTGTTTTAAAATAGTCTAGATAGTAGTAATTTTTGTTAAAATGATGAGTGTCGTGTTAAATACAAGCTAGGTAAGTTATGTCAAGTAAAATTTAAATTGCAATTTAATTAAATATAATTACCGATAAAATTGATGATAAGAAACACTGTTAGACAGCAAACCAATGATTTAGAAATCATGTTTAATTACTTACAAAACACTAATGCAATACAAGTTACTATAAAATTGTTATGATTGAATTATACCAATCTCAATTAATTAACACAAATTACCAGCTTTTATCTAAATAATTTTTACTTTCATTAATAATGATGTCTCTAGTAATTAGAAACTATTACATCAATACCATAATTATCTAGATAATTATCTAACTTAAATTTATACAAGCGTCAATTCATTATTGTCACCATCATTAAAATGTTTATACAATTTGCTACATAATTACGATAAATGATATATTTAAAAAACAAAATCTAATGAATATTAGCAGTAGTTTTAATATAATAATAACATGTTCATTAACAAATCATTTATAATTTTTAATCTATTTCATAAGAAGTTTATTAAATGATGTACAAAATTACCACATTGTGTGCAATAATCGTGGCGTTTATTATAAACGGTAAGCTTATTTAGAAAACTAACTAGCTTATTTAGAAAATAAGCATCACCTTTCTAAAATAACACCCAAACACTAACATCAAAACAAACCCAAACACAACTACACCCACAGCCGAGGCCAACGACGCGGGCGACGGGAAGGCCACCACAGCCGCCGCCGCCACCGCCGGCGCGTCCGAGGAGTACCACCTGTTTGCCTGCACCCAAGCCAATCACAATGAGCATTTTGATAAAATGACCGCGTACCTGACCCACATGATACCATTCCTCGAGTTTATGGTACAGCA